GGTTGATCCCTATGAGTGCACATGCCTGGTTTCACATTAGATCTCAACTACAGAAATTAACCACCAGATCATGGTGATTTGCAAAATTACGGGTGGATGAGGAAATGGGAATTCGGCATTAAAAGTCCTTAAAAAGTTTAAAAGTCCTTTAAAAGCATGAAGTCAAATCATCATCATGTCCTCATGCCTTTTTCAATCTCATTTCTATTATGTCTTAAAGAGCCCCTATTATACATGAAATAGGGTCATATTTTGGTTTTGGGGGTCAGAAAACACTTTCATGGTCTTATAATATGAATTTATTTTAACTAATTATCCCAGCGACTCTCATATGAATTGTTCAGCGATTCATTTGTTCCCAAACCCCTCCGTAGCGCGAAGCTAATCTGCACTGATTGGACCAGTGACAGCCTGTTGCGATTGGTCGACACTGACAGCCTTCAGCGCGTGCAGGGCAGAGTGAAATGCCCAACACAGCTTATCAACAATATAGAAGTAGTGTATATATATATATATATATATATATATATATATATATATATAGATATATATAGATAGATAGATATATATATATATAGATATATATATATATATATATATATATATATATATATATATATATCTAACTATAACTAGATTATATATATATGTATTTACAGTTGAAACCAGAAGTTTACATACACTGTATAAAAAGTCACATAACCATTTAAAAAAAAAAAGTCAGATGTTAATGTGACTAAACTTTTTCTCTTTTAGGTAGGTTAAGATTATCAAATGTGTTTCTTTTATGCTTAACAGCAGAATAATGAGATATTTTTTGAGAAATTGTTATACCTTTTCAAGTCTACATACTTTTCAAGTTTACATACCTTCCTAGGGCCTGATTGTTAAATACTTTGAATGTTTTATATTGTTACAGACATGCAGTGTCATCCTGCAACTGTTTTACAGCATATCAAATGTCCCAAACCCTATTTTTTTATTATTATTATTTATTTATTTATCATTTTACAGTATAACAAACAACACAATTGACAAAAAGAATATTCAGCATTAAGTGTAGCATCAGAGTATACAAATATAGAAACATGTACATCAACAAATCCAGTTTATGTTACTAGATAAAACAGAAATTAAATAACAGCCTGTGAATGGTCAGTATGATAATGGGTATTATACAGGCTCAGGTCAAAGGGTTCATAAAGGGTCCATAAAAATTTTCCAGGTTTTTAAAAATATGTGCGTTTTATTTTTTAAGCTATATGTTAAATAATCCAATGCAGTGTGTCATTTATGATATTTTAAAATAATTTTAATGTTGGAGGGAGTTCCTGTTTCCAGTTTAACAGAATACATTTCCTAGATACATAAGATATTAGACCTATCCTTTTGGTAAAAAAAAGGGTCTGATACCTCATTCAAGTCCACCCCAAAAAGATATATTAAAGGAGTCTTGAGATATTTCTTTCCCAGGATCATCATAGAAAACTCATGTACAGAATCCCAAAACTCATTTAGTTTTTTTACAGCTCCAAAAAATATGCATAATGGTGCCCTTATGTTTCTTACATCGGTTACATAAAGATGAAGCACCGGGATATATCCTACTATATATCTATATATAAGGCGAACTGGGGTCAAATATATTCTTTGTATAAATTTCTAATTTTGTTAAATTATTTTGTTACTTGAAAATGAAAAAGACATACATTTGTATTCAACTTCCCACTGATCATTATCAAAATTACAACCTAATCCTATTTTTAAGTGTCCAAAATGAAGGGAAAAATTTGTTTTTACTCTCTGATAGTCAAAGCAAATTAAAAAAAAAAAATCTGTTAAGTATGCATAAAACAATTCTGCAAAAAGCGTTTTATGTAAATTGGGACTAGGAGACCACATATATTTTTCTCTAAACGTACATCATATCAAAAAATGATACTTCGATTTTTATTCTTATTAGGTTCCAATAAGTTCAAATAGCAAAGAGAAATAAAAAATGCATGTAAAAAACACATTAGGCCTTAATAGGATACAATAGGATTATTCTGCCTCTGAAAAAGCGCAGATGATGGTGTCAAGGTTTTGGACGTTTCTGATTGGCTAATTGACACCATTTAAATGTATGTAAACTTTTGACTGTCAAGAAATTATTAAAAATTCTCAAAAAAAAAAACTCTCATTATTCTGGCATTTAGCAAATGTAAATGATTTAGGTAATCCTAACGGACCTAAAATAGTAAACGCTTAGTATGATTCACCATCAGACATTTTTTTAAATGGTTATGTACCTTTTTTTGGAGTGTATGTAAACTTCTGGTTTCAACTGTATATTATTAAAGGGCCATGAAACCCCCTCGTTTCAGCAGGGTGTTTTCACACCTCTACTTTGGAAAAAGTCAGAAAAGTGGGCGTGTCCAGCTCTGTTTAGGGGGGAGTGTCGGAAGAAGAAAAGAGGCTTGGTGTGGGAGTGTCTATTTGGGCGCGCTGAATTTCAGAGTCAAAACACACAACCACAGCGGACAATGTGACTGTGTTTACATGGACATCTGTAGTCGAATTATTTGCCAAATTATTAAATGGTGGACTTTAACTGCAGTTTGGCTCTTTCATTCAGGGAATTCATTCATGTCCCTCCCGATAAACGTGATGTTTGATTCGAGTAACTGCTCTAAGCGTGTATTTTTCATGCAATGTTTGATACCGCACGGCAAATGAGAGAAAAAAAACTCTGCATTTCCCGGAAACTTAGATGCACACGGCAGGTAGCGTCAGAGAGCCGCGTGTGTTATTCCGGTCACAAAAAGCAACACGAGGTTATAGTTTAATTGTAACCGTTAGTGCTAACTTGTTTATACTCGGTGCAATAGTTTGTTTGATACGAATAAAATACGAACTGAATAAACAAAGAGCACTAGTCGCTCACTTACCAAATCTGTAGAGACAGGACAATCACCAGCAACTAGAGCCGCGTCTTTATTTAGAGAAGACTACAAGCGAATCCGGATCTCAGCGTTTGCAGATGAGAACAGCTCTCAGGTAAACAATAATCCTCCTTAGACAGTCCCAACTGTTGTCGAGCATCGCGTACACTGTTAATCCACACGTGAGTCTGAGCTCTCACAGAGAGAAAATGAAAACGAAACTTAACTGCAGCAAACTATAAAAGCAACACTTCACGCTTGTTTTGCCAACACAACGTGGCGTCTCTGTCATCTAAACACTGTGACAGTAATGAATATTAATGAAGTTGCACAATAGAGCGCGCTGATTGGTTTGAACCAAGCCTTACTCATGCATTAATGCAGCACACTGTAAGACGTAATAAGACACACTCTGGCGAAGACGTCCAGTCTGCACGCTGGAATACACGCTATTATCTCATGTCTATGACGCAGCTTCAAAAATTCGTTTCAAACCGGAAGTACGAATTTGCTTGAAATAACGCAAAAACAACCAATTTACACTTTTTAGTGAAATATATGTGTCCTAATAGTGTTTTTAGCAGTGTGGGACACATACACGACTGTCAACAGCTCAAAAAATGTGTTTTGGTGTTTCGTGACCCTTTAAAATATCCCAGGCACACAGTAAAGTAATCCATATTCATTAAATGCACTGCATAGTTGTCTTTAAAAAAACAAAAAACAATCTAGCCTCTTTATAAAAAATTATTTGAAATATTTCAGGCTTCTTAACCAGCTTCCACTTTATGTAAAAAAGACCAATTTCTATAGTTGAATTGTTCCTAAATTTAGAATTTTTGTTTTTTACCAATATGAAGTTACGATTACAGCAGTTATAATGCCACTGAAAGAGATAACTTTACTTTTGTATCTCTGTTTTAATAGTTTGGGTGGATATCCTCCATTTAACACTGAGTGCACCACCATGTCTGTCCGTGAGCAGATCATTAATGGCGAGTACCGCTTCATCCCCTCTCAGTGGAAGAACGTTTCAAATGAAGGTAACCATTCAGCATTTATATTCTCAGAATTGTATATGTTTTCCAATTTCTTTGAAAATAACATCTTAACAGCATGTAGTTTGAGTAAAACATTTTAACTCTACATTTCAGCCAAAGATTTGGTCAAGAAGCTCCTGGTTGTGGATCCACAGAAGCGTCTGAGTGTTGAAGAGGCACTAGAGCATCCCTGGTTAAAAGTATGTACAGAAAAGACCACTAACTACACTGCTGCGTTTGGCCTTTGTTTAGATATATTAAAAGCTGACAGATTTTTAAAAGGGTAATATTATACTTATTATTTTCTCCCCAAGACATAATTAAACTCTTAAATGTGCTGTAAATGTACGTTTTTAGCTCTTCTTAAACATAAAAATACTAAAATATGTTAGCAGATATTTAAGAAACATGCTAAGTGAACACTTGTTTATCTAAAAAACAATGCTAAAGTCAGATATTCTCCTTTTGAAATGTGTGTTCAGTGTCTGAATGGCTCTATAACCAGCCCATTGCAAGTTTACCCATTTGTATTGAAGCACCCTAGATTGCCTTGGCATTTCATTTTAGTCACGAAGGCTAAAATTGCGATCTCTGGAGGACAGTGGCAGCCTCTGAAATAAAATGCAGATTCAGAGTTATTAAATACACAAGGTGGTTTATAATTAGCAAATAAAATATATGTTACAAATGTAAACATTAGCTGAGCAGCTTACATTCACAGTAGCATCGATTTAGTAGCTTTGTAGTCGATTTAGTAGTCTTTGTCAGAGGGGCCAAGTGGAGAAAAAAAAACATTTTGAATTTGGACTGCCATATCTACTTCAACCACTAGGTGTCAATCCCACACACTTCTCTTTTAATATCTATAATGAGACTTATTCAAATAGAATATTAAAAGTGTCCAAATCTAAAAAAGGTCATCGTTTTTGTAACAGGATGACAGGATGAGACAAAATGCAAACCAGCTGATGAATCCTGGAGCTGCAAATCAACCAATGCGTCCAGAAGCAACAAGGGTACAACAACAAATCTCTTATTAAATTAAAAGTTTTAATGAAACTTTAGAGGAAATTAATTACTGGATTTTCAACATTTTACGAGTCAATGTAAATGTCAATTACAAATGCTTTAGTAGTTATTGAAAACTAAACATGATTTTATTTGAACATTTTTAAGCAGAAACGCAAGGCACAAGAGGGAGAAGGTGAACCATCATCCAAGAGGAAACCCGGGCCTTGATCTTCACGTGCTTTTAGAAGTTTTTGTATTTGTTCTGATGATGGCCTTTTAAAACGTAGTCCTGTGATCTGTTCAACACTGTACTGCTCTTGTAAATATGTGTTTGTACCATTTCTTGTAAAAAAATAAAATGGTTTTACATTTTCTATTCCTCTGATTTTGTAACTTTGATCACGGATCATTTTTCTATTTAATTTCTAAAATAATTTGTATAAAATTGAAGGTGTTCAAAAGGCACACTCTGGAGTTCTATGTAGGATTGAAATTTTTTTTTCCAACAATTAGTCCTTAATCCTACAGGTAGATGTTTATGCAGATTTTCAATCCCTTAGTATAATTCGGTCTCGTATCACCAAGACCAATGCTTATGAATTATGTTCTGCATCAAAAATTGGTTTCTTCACTTAAATGAAATGCACTGCATACAGTGCCCAGTATAAATGAGTACAGTACACCTCTAACAGATCTTTTTTTAATTAAGCTTTTCTAAAGGATGTTACTCAAGATATTTGTATGAACACTCACCGGCCACTTTATTACTAGTATAGGGTTGAACCCCCTTTTGCCTTCAGAACAGCCTTAATACTTCATGGCAAAGATTTAAAAGAGCATCGGAAATATTCCTCAGAGATTTTGGCGGCTTTGTCGGCTGCACATCCATGATGCAAAACTCCTTTTCCATTGAAAAATGGATTGGATTGAAGTATGGTGACTGTGGAGGCCATTTGAGTACAGTGAAGTCATTGTCATGTTCAAGAAACCAGTCTGAGATGATTTGCACTTTATGCGTTATACTACTGAAAGTAGCCATCAGAAGACCATCGGTGTGGTGTTCTGCTGCTGCAGCCCATCCACCTCAGGATGTGTTGTGTGTTCAGAGATGCTCTTCTGCTGAGTGGTTATTTGAGTTACTGTTGCCTTTCTATCAGCTGGAACCAGTCTGGCCATTCTCCTCTGACCTCTGGCATCAACAAGGCATTTGCGCCCACAGAACTGCCGCTCACTAGATATTTTCTTTTTCAGACCATTCTCTGTAAACCCTAGAGATGGTTGTGCGTGAAAAACCCAATAGATCAGCAGTTTCTGAAATACTCAGACCAGCCCGTCTGGCACCAACAACCATGCCACAATTCTGATGCTGTTTAAACCGCAGCAGATCCTCTTGACCATGTCTACATGTCTATATGCATTGATTTGCTGCCATGTGATGGACTGATTAGAAATTTGTGTAAACGAGCAGTTGGACAGGTGTACCTAATGAAGTGGCCGGCGAGTGTATACATTAGATTAGTCAGTATGCCGAAGCCAAAACTGGAAGTGATCTGACTAAATAACTTAAGACTGAAGTGCAAATTTTTTTTCAACCAATAAATATGTTCGGGGAAATATTAAACATTTATAATAAAGAAAAAGACTTAATAGAACCATAAAATAACATCAAATTTAGGGGGAATTTTGTAGTTTATAACTTTTTATTTTAATTTTAAATGTGTTTTCATTCATTTCCTCAAGATGACTCTTATTTTAATGAGTATAACTGTTTAATAAAACTGTTTTATTTAAATGCACCATAATATATTTATATTCACTGAGAAATGTATAAAAATATTAACATTAACCCTCGTGTGCTGTTGGGGATGTTTTCATCCACTCTAAGGTGAATTTGAGGCTTAATTTTGTCAACTTTCTGTGTTTCAGCAAATGGAATGATTTTTGGTAACAAATCTTATTTTGACATCTATTTTGGAAAAAAAATGATTCACACTGGGCAAATTGACTATCCTTTAGTTATGTTGGTGGCTGTTTTTGCCCCATTATCTTCTATTATAATAACATGTTTTGCAAATCCATGACATAATCATGCATTCTTGATTGTAGCTGGTTTTACAATCATAGAACTCCATATAAAAGCCAGAAACTTGCTTGCACATGCTTTTCTAAAGCCAACTAATGATCACCAGTAAAAGTGATAAATTTGACCTCTTCCCAACAGGGAAAAGCACAATCAAGCCTGCATGATTATATGCTGTCAAGGCTTTGCAGTCAATAAATGTGATTATAATGGAAGTCAATGGGGCAAAAACAGCCTCCAACATAACGAAAGTGTGGTCAATTAGAACGATACACAAAAGAGAGTTAAAAGGAGTCGTGCTTGTTTATGCTGTGCACTGTATGTGTAATAATATAATGCATGATAATCACAACAACGTCACATTTAAATTATGCAGATTTTCCTTTAAAAAGGCACACACGTTGTCCACATTTGAACAATACTTGTGATGCATGTCTTGATTACTGTAAATTAATCAAACTGCATATCGTTATTAGACGGACTAAATTCGTAATCACACTAAGTCAAGTGCAGAAACACCTTGCCCTGTGATTTTTCACAGTTTAGCAGTGAATTTGTCCCTCAGGCGGTAGACAATGGTGTGAGCTTCATCAAAAGAGTCGGACAGCGCTGACTGGACTCGACTCCTCCAGCTCATCAGTTTGGGTCTGTCCTTCAGAATGTCCCTCCCGCTGCTCATTGGCTGAAAAACATGGTTATATAGAGGTTTACAGGCTCATGCATCTGACTTTATTGATGTTCTCCATATGTCTGAACATTCGATGGGGATATGCAATGTTTATTTTGGGGTTATTTTGGTTTGCTTTATGCAGTGTGTGTGTGTTAAATGGCCATAAGATGGGTTCCCATTGCATACAATAAGATTACATTTAATAAGATTTTAGAAGGTAAGGTTTTTAGGATGTTAATCAACTTTTTTATTAAATTTTATTTAATAGTTATAGGAAATTATAATTGTAATTATTATGCTCATTCAGGGACTTGAGTAAGATTTCATTATAATTACATTTTCATATTTACAACTTCATGTAAATTCAATATAATTTATCTGTATACAGCATTTCTTTTCTAATCTTCAATCAAAATAACCTTTGCTTCAACAACAGTTGTGCTTTTTTCTAATAATGTGCAGTCAATCACACAAGATCCACCAATAGCAATCCAAAACTTCTCTGACTGACACAATCAAGTCCCGCCTTACATTCTTTCCGCCAGAGGGTATATGCAGGAATCCTAAACGAAATTTCAATTAAAGAACTTCTGAGAATATTTTAAGACCTCGTCTCCACTTCAAGTTCTAATCAGTATCTGACCTTTAACATAAACAGTTGCTAATAAACAGTTGTAGTTAAATAAATGCATGGAGCACAACCATGCAACATAAATAAGCTCCGAAGAAACAAAACCTGAAAGAATGAATTACGTAGTTGTTTTCAGCGACTTATCTTTCTCCAACCAGAAGTATGCAAACTTGCATTATCCCATCTTGCTGGTTGGTTTCGCTACATGTGGAGAGAGTCACATCACCTTTCCGCGTTTGTCGCAAATTACGTGACATCACCCAGAGGAGCTTGTTTGGATTTTTTTTGGAGTCAAACACTTTAAACAACACTTGAACAAAATTTAAGAACTTGCAAAAAGGGGATTAAGACTTTTAAAAACCTTTTAATTGCTTTTAAGGTGCAGTAGGTGATCTTCCACAATGCTAACAGCTTAGCATAAATCTCTGAATCACAGTCCCTCCCCTGCCGTCCAGAGCCACGCCTCCTGAAACAGGAGCACGCGCACCTTAAAGATGACAGCAGAAGAACCCTCTCTCGTATTAGTGCTTGTCCGGCGGCATGCAGGAATTACAGTCATTACTAAGCCAAACTGACATGCTACTTCAGAGCGAATATTTATAGTGGTATGGTAAACAATATAGGGAGAGACTAGGCGGAATAGCGGTATTAACTTGTGTTTTTATGTTTAACTAATTAAAATCTATGTCATCAATGCTGTAAAAGGTCCCTTATGAAACTGAAAATAGTCTTATCAATCTTTCACAGGAAGATTTTAGTGGCTGAACAACACTTCTGTGAAGATGTAACCAGTTTATAACAACAACATCTACAACATCTGTTACATCAGCTTTGCGTGAAGCTAAAACAGTTTTAAAACAGAACATTACTGTCTAAAGCCTGGTTTATACTTCTGCGTCAAGTGACCGGCTAACCCACGGCGCATGCAACGCGCGTAGCTGTGCATTTATACTTCTGCGCGCTGTCTCTGTTGGTCTGCATTAACACTTCCGAAACGCTAGTTGGCAGTGAGGTGTTAATGTTCCTCTGTGTCGAGTTTCTTTGCTGGTGTTTTGCTTTTCCTGAACACTTCCTGGATGTATAAATGGCTCAAACTCGCTCATTTTGAGGCAGGAACCGGCGGACGTCCAACAACTATGAGGTAAACACAAAACAAAACTTTCCATCCGGAACTCCTTCATGGGACTCCACACTTGTAAACAATCGCTCCATCAGGCTCGCGCCATTCGTTCGGCTCTCGGTCCCGCCCAGACTCGTCAGCTCTACCAAGCCAACCAATCACAGAGCTTGGGCTACGCGTCGTTGCGACGTGTAGTTAAATTTTTTGAGAGGTGCACGTCAGCGACGCGACGTCAACGCCGTAGCATACGCGTGCGTATCTCCTTCAGCCATTGTATCGTCCTTTCTCCAGTGTGCAAAGGTTACTCCAATATTGGTTCAAGTTTTTAAAAAGTTTTGATTCAGCAGGTTTTTGTCGATCACGCTTGTGTTCTCTCTCTCGTGTACTCGCAACACATCTATGCACAAACATCGGTCGGCGGAGCTGCGTACAAACGGCTGCACAGTTGTTCAAATCTGCATTTGCTGACAGACAGTTTGGGCTACTTATCGGAATTATGAGAGATGTCGGCCCGACTCTATTTAACTGGATGAACATTTTTTAGTTTCATGCCTTACCCAAAATATAAAAATACATATAGATACATTTATATCACTTACTGTAATTAATACTATTGGAATGTGAAAAGACTTTCAACCAGCACAACAACAAATGTTTCTGAAGACAATCACTTACTGCACCTTTAAATTTCTCATAATTGATTTATCAACTTTTAAGACTTTTTACGACCCAGCGGACACCCTCTATTCAAGAAGCTATTTCTTTCAAATATGGGAAAGATCTGTAAAAACCATACCTGCATGAGTTCACAAATTGCAAGCAAGTCAGCCAATGAGATGTCATCCCCGCACAGGAAGGCCTGTCTCTTCAGAAACATGTTTTCCAGCTTGTCTAGTGTGCCGCTCAGGTCTGATAGGGCCTTTTCCAGCTTTGCAGTATTTGCCGGCTGTCCTGTCATGAGTGGCAGTAAAACCTGTACGAAAATGCAAACTATTTTCAAGTAACAGTCCCCTCTTTTTTTTTTTGGAAATAGTCCAATTGTATATATCCCCTAGAGTTAACGGTTGAGTTTTATCATTTTTGAATGGATTCAGTCAATCTTCAGGACTGTCAGGGACACTTTTAGCTTAGCTTAGCATAGATTATTGAATCGGACTAGACCATTAGCATTTAATTAAAAAAAATCTAAATAGAGTTTTGATAAATTTCCTATTTATATCCAGGAGCTCTCCTACTGTACCAAGGCAGCAGAATGTTCAATATTACAGGCTCCTGAAAATAGTCCCCAGTTTGGTAACTACGTAACATTGTTTGTCTAATATTATTGCACAGTTATGATACGACAGCAACGTCCCTTGATTATTACACCTCGATTATTACATGTCTAAGTGCACGCTATATAATATACTGCAGAAGAGTCAAGCTTTAAACGGGAAAATTGTCAAATGTTTTTTAAATCTTTTTGAGAGAGATGCTAACGGTCTAATCCGATTCAATGATCTAAGCTAAGCTAAGCTAAAAGTGCTCAAGCTAGACCCGAAGATTGTCTGAATGGATTCAAAAATGGTAAAAATTAAACGTTTATCTCTAGGGGACTTGCAAAAATGGGCCTATTTGTAACAATAAAAACTGCATATGTACCAAATAAATGATTTAAATGTCATTTAACCACTCACATTTTAACCCTACTGTACCTCTTGCCAGAAGACTGTGGCAGCGTGCATGCGAGTGTTCATGTGATGCCAGGCTGTGTATTCATCAACTCGCGCTCTTTTCTCAGGAAGCTTGGGGTACCAGTGATCGGGCACTTTGTAGGTTGTTGCCAGATACTTCAAAATAGCGTCACTGTGCCAGAGGATGATTAATAATATAACGAAAAGGTTAGAGAGTAAAAATGAAGATTTGCTGTTGATTTAATCATCCTCACGCTAGTCAACAGGTGCCTTTTTTTTTTCTTCAGTAGAAAACAATAACAAATAGATAAATTGAAAGAAAGAAATGCGTTTTTTTGCTGAAAATGTAGTCCATTATGATTTAAAAAATGCAAATCAATGGCTACTAGAAACTGAATACAAAAGTTATTAAATACCTTATTTTAACATTTTAAAGTATAACTAAAAAGATTAAATAAATAACAGGGGAAAGGGAATAATAGTATTAACAACCCCGCAAATGGACAATTTAAAAAAAAAAAAAAAAACTTATGAATGCCTGATATCAACCATCGCCTTAAAAATTATAATATAAGTAAGTAGGTTAATTGGTTAGACATTTAACCAAAAACTAATCGATTTTCCGCTGTAATAACTAATTTATTTTCACAAAATCTGACAAGATTTTTAGCACAAATCATTTTTTAGGCATACCCAAGCTCAATTTTCTGGCTATAATCATTCATTCATTTTCTTTTCAGCTTAGTCCCTTTATTAATCAGGGTACGCCACAGAGGAATGAACCGCCAACTTATCCAGCATATGTTTTACGCAGTGGATGCCCTTCCCGCTGCAACCCGTTACTGGAAAACACCCACACACACTCATTCACACTCATACACTACGGACAATTAGCTTACCCAATTCACCTGTACCGCATGTCTTTGGACTTAGGGGAAACTGAAGCACCCAGATAAAACCCACGACGGGGAGAACATGCAAACTCCGCACAGAAATGCCAACTGACCCAGCTGAGGCTCGAACCAGCGACCTTTTTACTGTGAGATGACAGCGCTACCCACTGCACTACCATGCTGCCCAGCTATAATTATAATAATGATCATTATATATAATTATTAATAATAATGTTGTAACTATTTGTGTGTATTGGTATCAGTATCAGAATGTTTGCGTTTATAATTAGAAATGTGTATGTATATAAGTAATAGAGTTTTTGTTTAGATTTTTTCATAAGACACAGAACCAATAATGCACCAATCATTGACTTGTTTTCATTTTGTTTAGCCTTTTTATGGACTACATTTTCAGATAATACTGATGAAGAAATGAAAGAAGAAGTCCTACATCTTAAATAGCCTGAGGGTGAGTATATGAACAGGAAAGTTTCATTTTTGTATGAATTATCCCTTTAATAATAAGAAGAAGAATAAAAAAATCCACATTTCCAAATGCAAAGGTTTACAAGTCTCTCTTTCCATACCTTTCAGTAAGAACAAAGCCATTGTCCTCCAGCACTGGCACCTTTTGCATAGGGTTGAGTTTGGTGAACTCGGGTGTTTTCTGCTCCCCTACAGGTGAAGTTCATTGAGGTTAATGTAAAGTTATTTTATATTTAAACATTCAGACAGTCTCCTTAATAATATAATTTCACTGTAATCTTTGCAAATTCTAAATCGTGTAATTAAATCTGCGGCCACTGGCAATTAACATTGTTCACAATCGAATAAATAGTGCAAATGTTGTTTTCAAGTTATACATGTGATGCTAGATTGAATATTTAAAGTACCATGGTAAACAATGTAGGTTGCATGTCACAAGTTGTCACTGAATGAATGTGGGAATACAACCAACTTTACCTCCTCAATGTAAAGTTCAAGGGCATTAAAGCCTACAGTGTGTGTAGAAATATTATAGTACTACATAGTACATATTATCATGTTTTGATCCATACTATAGTAAATACGTGAATTAATCAGTTGTGGTTTGCATTGTTGCTATGGTAATACAACTACAGCAATATAAACCATTTACACTGTCCTATACGCTTTTTACAGCTGCAAAAACACTATCTGACAAAGGTCTTGTCGCTTATTCAAGTTTAAGGAACAACAAATAATAACTGGACTTCAAGTTGATCATTTGGTATCAAAAGTGGCTCATATGAAAGGCAAAGGCCTCTAGATTACGCTTATTTCACCCAAATAAAATATGATCATGACTTGATTTTTAATTATTTAATTGGGTCAGTAAGGTCTGACTTTGCTTAGACGAAAGTCTTGTTATTTAACAGAAATAATGTCCAGTATAGAATATAAAGTCATGCTGCAGTGGATGAAAATTATGTATGACTCCATCATGAGCTTGGAGAACTGCAATCTCTGCAATGACTCAAATAACAGATTAATAAAGTCATCTGGAATGGCAAAGAAAGCATTCTTGCAGGATTCACAGAGTTTATCAAGATTCTTTGGATTCATCTTCAATGCCTCCTCCTTCATCTTACACCAGACATGCTCAATAATGTCCATGTCAGAGGACTGGGCTGGCCAATCCTGGAGCACCTTGACCTACTTTCAGGAACTTTGATGTGGAGGCTGAAGTATGAGAAGGAGCGCTATCCTGCTGAAGGATTTGCCCTCTCCTGTGGTTTGTAATGTAATGGGCAGCACAAATGCCTTGATACCCCAGGCTGTTGGTGCTACCAACAACTCTGCTGATCTCTCACACGCTCCTATACTGAATTTAACCCCAAACCATGATTTCTCCTTCACCAAACTTGTCTAATTTCTGTGAGAATATTGTGCCCATGCGGGTTCCAGTAGGTCTTCTGCAGTATTTGTGGAGATTGGGATGCAGCTCAACAGATAATTCATCTGAAAAATCGACCATCTGCCACTTTTACAAATGATCAACTAAAAGTCAAGTTGTTATTATTATCTTACAACTGGGATCGACAACAAGACTTTAGTCAGGCAGACACCACTGTAGCAAAAAAACTAAAGTACATTAAAGTATTTAAGTTTATCAGTTCATTAAATTTTTTAACAAAGAGCAGTAACGTTATATATTATAATATAAACAGTTTAATACTTTTTACTGTAGTGTGCTTCAAATACGGTGTAACGTTACTGTATGTTGAGTTGAGGTAAATGCAGAATAACCTTCAATATACGAAATTAACAATAAATACATACAAATTTCTAGAAATCATAGAGATGAACCAAAGTCTGAAGGATAACCTTTGCACAGACTTGGATTCACGCCATGAGGACTTTACAAATGCATTACATTGAACGACACGTTAACAAAGTAGCTCACCTTTTCTTATCGCAATTTGTTCCACCGTGTGTGGTATTTTATTATGTTTTAGGAATATCAGCACAGCTCTGCATGGCTGTGACATGAGATCTAAATACGCTTTTACTGCCTGTCTGCCGGTCATGGTGAAGCGTGAGTATGTCCCGTACTGTAGACAGAAACAACATGTATTCCTGCTCGTCCAGCGTCACAGTCCATAGTCCAATCACACGCGTCTTCCTGAAGTATCTCACAAATGCTCTAAACGCATTAAACTGAGTCTTATCCGATGCATTTGTACACTAAAGAGGAAGTTTATTTTAAAATAATGATTTCTAATATATTTATAATCGAAGAACAACTGAAAACATGCCCTGAAGTGATATATGAGACAAATCTGAAGAGAAATCATAAACAACAACGATTGGGCGATGCTTGTCAGCGATGACAAAAGTAACAGATACCCAGTGACTATACAGCGCTTTTACAGATGATGGGGAGCACTGGGCACACAGTAACGCGGAGTTAAATTTAACACAACAATTGAAAAAACAAATTGAACAAATTAAGTAAACAACTTAAAATACCAAATCATTATGCAATTTCTTACCATATTTAGTGAACTTTCATTGTCATTTACATCCATTTTTGTTGATGAATTGAGTTCAAATATAATTCACACAGTGATTTTTAGATTGAAAAAATCCTTTATTGTCAATATTAAAATTGTAGACTAAACTGTAAAATAAATTTAAACATGATTGCAGTGATTTCATGAGACTCCAGTTCCTCATATGGATCCATTTTGCATTATTGAAGACTAACAAAAAATATCGGTATCACAGGAGAAATTCTATATGATACGTTGCTGCATAATAGTTTCAGCCATACTAATTTGTATAAAACACATTCAAAATACAATTGAAAGTCCCTCCTGTCATGTGACTGCCCCTGCTAACAAAAAGGACAGTATTCAAGCTGAAGGCACATGATGTAGTGCAGCATCAGTGTGTGTCAATAACTGTTCACACACAATTATACAGTTAAAGTCAGAATGATTCGCCCTCCTGTGAGTTTCTCAGATATTTCCCAATTGATGTTAAACAGAGCAAGAATTTTTTAACAGTATTTCCTATAATATTTTTTTCTTGTGGAAAAAGTCTTATCTGTTTTATTTCGGCTAGAATAAAAGTAGTTTTTAATTTTTTTAAAATATTAATCAATATTTATGTAATATTTATGTCAATATTATTATCCCCCTTAGGCTATATATTTTTAAATTGACTACAGAACAAAACATCGTTATACAATGAATTTCCTCATTAACCTAGTTAAGCCTTTAAATGTCACTGAATACTAGTATCTTGAAAAATATCTAGTCAAATACTATGTACTGTCATCATGGTAAATATAATATCAGTAAGAAATGAGTTGTTTAAACTGTTATGTTTATAAATGTGTTAAAATTTCTCTCTCTCTCTCTCTCTCTCTCTCTCTCTCTCTCTCTCTCTCTCTCTCTCTCTCTCTCTCTCTCTATATATATATATATATATATATATATATATATATATATATATATATATATATATATATATATATATATATATAATATACAAAAGGGCTAATAATTCTGACTTCAGTGTTTGCAGATATTATATTTCCATTTTGGCAGATTAATGCACATGTCAATACAGTAGCATCGTAAAGCCCTTTAAAGTGCAGTCATACTGTATATGTGCATTACATTGGTGTGGACAGCAGAGGGCCCTCAGTGCCGTTGGCATTAATGATCTTCTTTCTAGACTTAAATTCGTTCTGAATCTCCAGAAAGGTCTTGTTTTTGGTTTCAGGGACCACAAAGAAGATGTACGTGGCCACCAATAAGCAGATGACCAGGAAAACGAGGAAGCAGTATTGCTTGAGGCCATTCTGGGAAGGATAGAGAGGGAAAAGTTTAACAGTGTTGCATTGTACATCATTATATAATCAATTATTTTTCATATGATTTTACGGTAATCATAACTTTTTGAAGTGAGTTAATTATTGAGTTATAGAGGCTGTTTTAAAGGGATAGATCAACCAGATTACTCACTATTTACTAGGCCTGTCACACCAATCAATATATGAAGAGTTCATAAGCAAAAGCCTTTAAATAGCTACCGTCTCAAATTTCCATCAAAAATGAACATTTTTATCAGCCTCCTTTGTTTATGTTGAGTTATTTAACTTTTAAGACCAGGAATAGGACTTATTCTTTGCCATAAATGTGATATAACTGAACGTACACGACAGGAGCCTGATAAAAATGCTCATTTTAGAGTAAAATTTCAGATGGCATTTAGAGGTTTTGGCAACTAAACTCTTCATGTGGACCTATCCCACGACACATGGACATGACCTCAATCCTTTTTGGTGATGCAATATATATCATCCATACATACAAACCAATTCTAGCAACACTTTGGCTAATGTGCAACATTTCTATCTCTACTGGAGGAGTTATTGTCAGTATGGTTAAAAAACACTATAGTATTTACTATAAGTTACTGTAGTATATTTTCATGTGGGTGCCTGACAGCTGAAAATAGATCTGGTAGCAGATATTGCAGCCACTGCTCCTTTTTACCTTGCACTTTTGTTAACATTTATTATTATTTATTAAGGATATATGTTTTTCCACTTCTTGTGTTGGCATGGGTTTCCTCCGGGTGCTCCGGTTCCAAAGACATGCGCTATAGGTGAATTGGGTAAGCTAAATTGTCCGTAGTGTATGTGTGTGAATGAGTGTGTATGGATGTACTGGGTTGCAGCTGGAAGGGCATCCACTGCGTAAAACATATCCTGGATAAGTTGGCGGTTCATTCCGCTGTGGCGACCCCTGATTAATAAAAGGACTAGGCTGAAATGAAAATGAATGAATGAATTTGTTTTCACATTCAGATTCCAATGCCTTATAGTTAAATTGTTAAAATGACTAATTAAATGAAATATTCTTAAGGATGAAATATTAAGTGTTCTTTGCAAAAGTGTACTTGCATTGTGATGATATTATATTCATTATAGTCATTCTGGCATTAAAAATGCTTCTTAAAAAGAAAATAATAACGTTTATCGCAACACACTTTGGTGCACTATATCATACAAGAAAAAATAGATATCCTGACCGGCCTATTTACTCATCCTAGTTTCTTTATTCTGCTGAACACTAAAGAAGATATTTTGAAGAATGTTGGACACCTGTAACCATTGACTTCCATAGGAGGAAAAATAAATACAATAGAAGTCAATGGTTACAGGTTTGCAGCATTCTTTAAAATATCTTTTGTGTTCAACAGAAGAAAGACAAACAGAGAGAGTAAATGATGACAGATTTTTATTTTAACTTCAAAGTCGCTTTTCCACTGCACACGACAAGCAACAGACCAGAAGTCATTCATTTCCAATAGAGAGTAGTCCGGGAGCTGCGTGGATTTCCGATTATATTTGTATGCAGAAAATTCGGATCCCATTTGAGCTGCTGATACGTTGAAATATTTGAACTCCTGCGACTAGACCGTATGCAACCGGATGTGATGTATTCCAGTGTTGTCCAAGCAGTTCCGTGCACCCGAGTTGAGAAATAGGAGTTGTTTCCGGTATTTTTTGAATCAGAAAAACATTTCTATTCATAATTGAGTAATAAAGATATTCTTTTTTGATGTTGTCTCCAAATTCCCTCCAAAATTTTTAGCGGTCTTTGAGTTTCTAGCATTTATTCATTGATTCATTCATTCAACCATAGTGAATGCACAGAGAATAAAAGCTCTTGCTTTATTTTGGACAATGAGAGTACAGGGGTCCGTTCTTCGCACATGGATTACTCAGTTAGCTGGATTTGGATATTGACGATTTGACACGATCCAGGATCGTTTCGTTCTTCAAAGCTGATCCGAGAGTTGTTGTCAAAGCAACAGTTCTGCTAGGTCAAACCTGATCGGGAGCAGGTTCAGTTCATATAAACAGGATTAGATCAGCTTGTTCAAGCAAAGATAATACAGAAAGTATGTTCCGAATTCTGATACTTTCTTACAGTAGTAGTTATATACACTTGGGAAAATGGTACATATTTTTTAACTATATATATATAAAGGTATAGTTATTAATAAAATAAATAAAGTTATAAACATTAATAAAACTTCGAAATGACACCCTCGAAATGAAAGTTCAAAGATTGCCACCTGGTGGTGCAAAGAGAAAACTTATTGATATGAACTTTTTAGATCGCTTTAGTACAAATTGTGTATAATAGAAATGCACAATATGTGACTTTTTTTAAAAACAATAATACATTTATGCAGTCATAAACATGTTTTGATAGTTAATATGCCAGTGATTTGATGCTTCACAAAAGTTGCAGACGCCTTTACCAATATCAAAATGCTTTTGTAATTTTTGGTATTCTTTACACCGATTAAAAAACGGCTGCTATAATAAAGAAAATCTTTTCTAAATGTAGAACTAAATACACTTATTTGCATTGAAAGACATGATGAATACTCTTGAGTCTTGACACATGAAAGTGTAAAGCCTGCAGCTCACAACAAATGTGGAAGGTTATTGCGTGTCATATTTAACAAGCCGTTTACTGAGAATTTGATGTAATTTGCCCACATCGAGAATTGAATATTAATCAGATGATGTCATTACGCTGCTGTGCCGTCAGCCAATCGTTGCATTGCTGATCATGATTTCGAGGATCGATAGATCTGTCCTTCATAACACACGCAGCGATTTCAGATCAGTTTATTCCGACATTCTAATCTGATTCGCGAACTTGTTTGAAGAACCAAATTAGCGAGAGATCAGTTATCAAGATTAAAAGATCCAGGATCTACCAAATAATCTTAGATCATTTAAGCTAGCTATGAAGAACAGACCCCAGCTCCTCTCTCATGATGCACAACAAAACTGAAAATTCTGTGCGACTGCCACAAGGGGGCGTATTCTGACAGTCATGTCCGAATGTCGTGTGCAGTGGGAAGGTGGGGTAGGTCAGTTTAATTTACGCAATTTTAAAATGTTTCATTTCTAATTATTGTTAATTTCATTGGTAATTTTATTCCATTTAAACATTTAAAGCAATCATGTCATTTTTTACAGTGAAAAAAAAACATTTTGAATAACTGTGAAGTTA